GAACAGAGCACGGCTATAACAACTTTACAGTTAGTTATTGTAATATTAATTTCTTTTTACTGTCACATTCTAATGAGTAACTCGAATTACAAAAAGAACAAAAAGTAACAACCAAAAAGGCCCAATATAACAAAAATTCATGGCAGCACGTGTAAAATTCATTTGATAATGACTGAAAGTATGGGTATTTTGATCTGTAAAATTATTTAAAGCATCCTTTCCAGGTCATCCTACTGCATCTATTCATCAATTTGCAATGCACAATTTTTGTCATTGCGGTAAGTAATAGGATTGCATTCGTGCATTCACGAAGAATTTTATTCAAATCACTGACATTAGACTAAAAATATACATATACCTAAACATACAGAAAATTATCCAGGTATTTTTTTCTTGTAAATCAAGTTCTAAAAGGATAAACTATAGAAGTTAAATTATACAATTAAAAAAATCGCTCACATCGAACGCCAAAGTGTAAACAACCAGAGAGCGACTCGAGAATCTCTCTCCTTAAAGAACCAGCATTATTTTGTAAGGAATTTCGCATTATAGCTGGTGTTTCCGGTTATTCTTTACGTTCGTTTTGTTTCATTTTGATATATGTCAAAGTAGTGTGGGTGTGATTTTGGTTAATAATGTATTCAAGCGCAGATGAAAGTGGACCAGCTGGAGGTTATGCTTTTTCAGCAAGGTGTTTCGGGTTTGAAATATTTTTTATTGAGATTTTAGTTTTAGTAGCTTCTAGCCGTGTAGTGAGTTTTGACAGTATATATCCATTGTAAATATCATCAGTTATTTTTATTTTGACTTCAGATTCGTAAATTAAGTATTACTAAAGAACTGGGATTCAATAAATGTTAGATTATATATTAGATACAGTTAATTAAGGTATTTTACCTATTCTAGACAGTGCTCTTGTATTTTGTATAATTTAGATTAAAATGTTTGTAGCTTACACTAGAGAAGAAGTGTTCTTCATGTCTTGAAAAATACATTGTGTGGGGAAGCATGCATAGCTATAGACTTAGGATTCATTATTTTAAGAATAATGTACAGAATCTGTAAGTTTTTAGCATTGAAAGGTATTGGATATAAGATCATCTCACTTGTGTTTTTTCCAACAATAGCTAATTTAAGCATATCTGTAATAAGACGTATCCTATTACACACTTGCTGATTTGTTTAATCCTAAAAGTCTTAGCCACCATATATGTACATTGATGGTACATTAGCTAAAAAAATGGGTGGGTTGCTTTACAGTATAATTAGTGTATTAAGGCATGAGTGAAAACTAGTATATCTGGTAATTTTTAGCATCTTTCCTCCAGCATCAAAGCCAAAAATAGTGGTTATCTCCCTCTTCTTATACCTCCTTCTACTTGTGTGTTTCTGGGTTGCTTGTCTTTCCAGCCAGTCCTCCCATTATAGCCCCTGCAAGCCGTCAGTGACCCATCCTAAGACCCTTTCCCCTCGGACCCCCTCTCCCTTCATATAGTCAGTTCTCAGGGAGACTAATCTGCTTGTAATATTTTTTTGCTTTTCCACTTGTGTTTTATATGTCTGTGGGAATGCATAAATGACTACTATATTAATTATGGTGGTTATATGTTTTAATAGATTATTAACATGCTTTATGATAAATATTCCCCATTTTCACTTACAGGCTGCATTCTGCAGTAACTATTTGATTCCGGCATGACATAGCATTTTCCTTTGTAAAAGTTAGGCATTTGGGGCAAAGGTGGACAGGGATTACATTCTCTTATTTTCAGAGGGAAATGAGCTACCTGGAAGCATATAGGCAGATGCACTAACAGGTGTCTCACTAGCCACAGAGTGCCCAAGTGGCGAATACAGTGACACTTTATTTACTGATCTCTGGGAGTGAAGATAGCAAATCCATTCCTCTCAATCTACCATGCCCTTTCAGGCTTCTGTGCTTGCTTGTGTTTCTTATGTTCCTCAACTCCTTGAAGTGGGACAGTTCATCCAATACCATTAATGACAATATTATAAAGCAAGACTTGCCTTAAAAATTGGATTTGTCTAATACACACTCATGTGTTAGTGTTGCTCACCTCTTCCCAGTCCAAAAAGGTTTGATAGATTGCAAGATTTATTTATATTAATTTCTCTTATTTTCAGTGATTTACTCTTATTACTACAGATTCATTGGTGGATGTCTTTGAAACCATCCTGAAACCTGACATTAAGGTTGTAGGGCAGAGTAACTGGGGTTTCTTTTACTTTGTCTGTGTAGGTACCAACTTCTCATGCATTTATATTAACTATTGGTGCTCCATTATACATTATACCTTTTAGTCATTTAGCCAGTATTAACCCCTTGGTGCCGGGTGACGCCGATCGGCATGAAAACAAACCGCTCGAAAGCTGGCGTGCGGCTGTACGCGGTGGCGGTGTGCCAAAGCGCGGCGAGCCAGTGATTCGGGCTGATGTCCCCTACTCATGCGCTCAAAGTCGCCGCCTTTGTTTGCTAGAGCGTAGAGTTTTTTTTTTTTTTTTTTTTTTTTTTTGTACACCTGGCGTCATTGGGTTAAAAGAAGATAATAAATTTTTCAGTTGCATCAGATAAATTTCTCTTTTTATTTACAGGGGCTCAGCATAAAATCATTTGGGGTAGTTTTAATTCAACTAGATATGGATGTTTTATCATTTTCTGTTGCATTTTCTTACTTAACCCAGTTCTGACAGGCATGGCATGTACTTTATTTTATTAATTTTTTTACACATAGATGGCTACACTACTGTCACCAATGAGCCAATTACGAGTACTGCCTGTCTCTCCCCTTCACCCATTTCCTTGATTTATGAATTTATTTTTACTCCTTTGTGGCTAAGCACTAGCAGAGCTATCTATCTATTATCTTATTTTGCTGTTACTGTATTATTTTATTGTCAATGCTGTTCATTTGTTGTTGAGTGTGTGTCATATCCATTTTATTTTACAGTGTAGTGTGTATAATGCCAATTTCCTACCTGAAAGTTACATAGGAATTTTTCTCTGGGGAGTCAGATTAACAATCTCAAACAAAAGTTTACCTGAGGAGATTGTAGAGTCTGAAAATGTCTGTCTCCATTTTTTTTTTAATTAATAATGCAGCTGTCTGCGGAAGTTGTTTTATTTTTTATTAACTCAGTGGTGATACCATGTGCTGAGTGCTACATGCAGTCAGCTGCTCAAGTAAAGATTAGAAGCACAGGAAGTATAGATTTTTCCCATCCTCAATGAAAACCTTAGTGACTGCAGTCATGGCCAAACAAGCAAACAAGTATTTAGCACACACAATTCAGGGGCAGGTTAGACTGTGCATGACCTAGGGATACATGCCACCTGGAAATGAATCCAGTCTTGCCATAGCATGGATATTTGTGCCATATACTGGCAGTGGGTTCAATTTCTTGATTTTTGCACACAGTAGTTATATGTTACTTCATGGGTTGTATATGTAGCCTAGCTATATAAATGTTGAGAGAGCACCAATTACAGATCATTAAAGATACTATATAGTTTATATATACACCTTTCTTGATGTTAATCTTTTCATTTACTCAGACTTTCTATAATTTTTATAGTAGCATAGAGGCTGTGTCAGTAATAAGGATTTTCATTCTAGGGTCGTCATGGAGAAGGACCCAATATCCTGCTCTGACGAAACCACCAACAGATCAAGACCAAGAACGAAGAACAAGAAGAGAAGAACATCAACATCTTCATCCTCCTCTTCCTCAACATCACCAAATCACGTAGAAGTGAAGAAGAAAAGGAAAAGAACTAAGTCAGCGTCTTCAAGGTCCTCCTCTTCTTCCTCCTCCTCCTCATCTTCTTCCTCCTCATCGTCTTCATCGTCATCCTCCTCCTCATCTTCTTCCTCCTCTTCATCATCATCATCTGAGTCATCAGGATCGGAGATGGAAGTGAACAGAGTGAAACTGAAGGACAAAGCACTTAAGAAAGCCCTTAAAAAGAGAAAGAAAAGAGAGAAGGTACTGAAAAAGAGACTCAAGAAGTGCAAGAAGCAGGCGAGAGAAAAGCAAAAGAAGTCCATCAAAAAGAAAGTGAAGAAACTGAAGAAGAAGTTAAAAAAGCTGAAGAAAGACAGGAAGAAAGAGAACAAGAAGTTGAAGAAGGAGAGCTCACACGAGAAGACAAAGAAGGATTCAACTGAACAGGGAAAACCCGACTCTAACAAGGAGAAAGGGCAGAGGCACTCCAAGAAGAAGCCAGAAGTGGTGGAGAATGGCTCAGCAATTGGCCCAAGCGTCGACATGATGATGACCAACCAAGCGACGGCACCAATGACAAGAGAGGATTGGGAGAAGCAGGAGAGTGTCCTACGGCGTGTTTATGATCAAGAGAGTGGGAGACATAGGTATGTATACTCAGATTAGACTAAAGAGAAGTAGATTATATTTGTGCATTTGCCATGCAATTATTTTGAATATGAATTTTCTAGTATAAATAGTGGTGTCTTAGTCATCTGTATATTTCCCCGCCTCTTTTCTTTTTATCTTTCTTTCTTTTATCTTCCCTTCCCACTCCACCCATTCCTGCCCACACTTGAATGATATAAATCCAGTAATTATAATGACTATTATTATTATCATTATTATTATTATTATTATGATTTCAGATTGATAAAAGGATCTGGGGAAGTAATGGAAGAGTGTGTGAGTCGTGACCGCCATCGTGCCATCAACAAAGCTGCAACTCAGGCCGATGGTGAATTCTTTCAGGTCTCAGTGAAGTCCCGAGCATCAAAATAGCAGCAGCATTTTAAAGCTGGGAGGTTTTATTTTCATCACAGATGTCCTTTGAATGAAACAAGTGATACTGAAGCTTTTGCTAGACTGGATTGAATTGTTTCTTTTGTTATGTTTGAATATATTGTTATTCAGCCTCAAGAAACTGTTGTATAGGTTATATATTTGGGGGCCTTGTTAGCTTATCTCACTCTTCACTCTTTCTCCCATTCAATCTGTTTCTTATTTTTTATGTGGTGATAACTCTATGACATGTCATTATATTTTTATTGTTGATAATCATTGCTCATTAGTTTTGATGAGTTATTAATTTATTTGATTATTCTTTTTATGAGATGAAATTCAGGGTTGGGTTTTTAAAAGACAAAAATATTGCTTACTTTTATTTTCATGTTATCATTATAGATAGATATGATTTATGTGGTACACATATGATTCATGATTATCCCTTTTTCCAACATCATAGCTAGATTTTTTTAATGTAGTTTAACTGTTCAAATGACAAAAATTAAGAAAATTTAATTAATTGCAAAACTTCCAGCTGTCTGTTTTTTACTCTCATTGTCACAAAAAGGTTTGAAACTGAAGCATTTGGAACAGTCACTTAAGTTTTTTTCTTTCTTTCTTCTTCTTCTTCTTCTTCTTCTTCTTCTTCTTCTTCTTCTTTTTACCTATTTGCCCCCTCTCATCTTCTCACATTCCCCCTCACTGCTCTCCCTCACCCCTGACTTTTCTTCTCTCCCGCCTCTCTTCCTCTTTCTCTCTCTCCTTCTCGTCCTTCCACTCTGTCTCCTTCTCTTTCTGTTTTCTCTTTCTCTTTCTCTCTTCTTTCCTTCTCTTATTTTTTCCCCTTTCCTCTCTCCCTCCTCTTGCCCTTTCTGCCCCTCTCTCCTCCTGTTCTCCTTTCTTACTTCCTCTCTGCCTTTCTCTTGCTTTGTCTCATTTTCTCTTGCTTTGTCTCATTTCTCTTGCTTTCTTTTTTTTACTCATATTTAGTACTTATTATTGGGCTATACAAAATGAATGTATGACTAGATATGTTACTAGCCATATATCTGTATGCACTTTTTACATGTTTGATATTTACATACACCATATATTCTTGAATACACAATTCAGTGCATTTAGGACTTTATGCTGAAGAAACACTGATCCTTGTATGTAATGGACCTGAGTTTCAGTATTTTCTTATATGATTGTGATATTCTTCCATCAGTCCATTTATTGGTTATTGGAGATTTTTTGCCTAAAATGAGCCTTATCACTTTCCTGTATGTCTTTCCATTATAAATATTGTTATAAGTTGGGTTTGTGGATCTTCTTTTTTTTTTGTTTTTTTAATTTAAGATTAAGTGTATGCTGCTCTGGAGTATTTCATACATCTAGGAAGTCTTTCATGTTTCAGTTTATGTTATTTTGAATGCAAATTTATTTATTTACATTATGTGGATTTCCTGGGACAGAATTGCAGCTTACATAAAAAAAATCCTGTCTGACCATAATTCCATGGAGTTCAGTGCATTGTATGTTGTATTATATTCTATATATTACATATCCAGGGTTTTGTGTTGTTTTCACGCTCACGCACATGGAGAGAAACACATGCGCACACACGCACACACTCACACACTCTCACACACGCACACACGCACACACGCACACACACACACATATATACTGAAAACTTATGCAAACACTATATAGATGTAAGTACACAAATAGGTCTACTGTAAAGTACTTGGAATGAAAATGTGATATATGGTGTACTGCACTCCTTTCCAGATCTCCATGAAGTACCTCCTCTGACAATACCTTTTTTATGTTCTTTCTCTTTCTATATTTTGTGTGCACAGGAATTTCCCAGATCTCGTTCCAGATAGACTGAGGTTAACTAGAATAATAATGCTGCCATGTGGTGTAGGATTAAGTTGTTGTCAGAGTTTGTATTATATTTACACATTTTTGATGTACCCATATGAAAGTTTTTGGCTCACATAAATGACTTTTTGTAATGAGAAGTGATTGTTTTCTCAGACATTAAAAGCCTTTGAAATATTAAGATAAAGAAACAGAATTTTATTACTCATTTTGATATAGTTATCACTTATTTTTTTTATTCTTCTTGTTTTGTTTGACAAAGGTTTATTATTGAAAGTATGATGACATGTCATGAACTTTCAAAAATGGTATGTGAAATATAGATTTTCATGTAAATTATGGTATATGAGATCCTTTGATTGCTGAAGTCGTAAAAACTTTCTTTCAGTTTGAAAATGTTTTGTATACTCTTAACGTAAGAATTGAGATTATAAGAATAATATGTCAGCATGATTTGTTGAAAGACATATTTTTCAGCCAAGATGTTTAGTGTCTCATACTCACACCTTATTCTTCCTTCTGTTTCAACCATCTTTTAAGAAAAGGGAAATATGTATATTTTGATAAAGTTCAATGCTTGAAGTATATTTACTCACATTTTCTCAAATTTTGATTTACATCCTATGAACAGTAAATGATGCATGAGTTTTGAACACAAGTATATTTTTATATAATTTTAGATCCAGGCAGAGATAATTGATAATGGATCTTGCTTTGCTTGTAATTTCCTATAAATCTTGTTACTTTTTGGTTCTCAGAAAGGAAGATCAATTATATTGTAGCCGTTTTTCTTTGGTTTCATTCTATAGAAGACACCTAATGGTAATGTTGCATCTTTTT